AGGAGGAGGAGGAGGAGGAAGAGGAGGAGGTTACAGTCTTGTAAGATTCTGTTACTATATCCAACCTCAATAAAAGTAGTTTTAGCCTTTCTGCAGAGTTGATTTCCTGGTCTGGTCTATCTAGTGGGGCTGACATCAATCTTGCAAGTCTCATGCTCTCGTTCAAGAGACGCTGAAGGGCTTGCTTTTAATAGAGATGGCCTCCAATCTTCAGGACTCAGCACTGTCTGCTGAGCACTTTGCTATAGCATTATTGCAACATCACCACCAACTTTACAAGTAACTAACTTGCCGAATGCCACGATGCAACTAACACAACAGTTGGGACAGAATTTACTTCAGCCAGCGGCAGCACAGCAGCCTGCACACAGAGGGTATTTCTGCGTTCTCATGGGAGTTTATCAGAGAAGTTTGGAGGAGACCGAGACCAATTCCTTCCTCACCCCCCCCCTTTCTCTTTCTCTCTGTCTCTCTATTAAGGATTTTAATTACAATAATAATTGTACAATTATACAAACTAAAAGAAAGAAAGAATAGAAAGAAAGAGTGAATGGTGCAAAGGAGAAGAAAAAACTGTAGAAAAAGAAAAGGAAAGAAAAGTAAGAATATAGTAAAGAAAGAGAAAAGAAATATATAAAGACATGATTTCCAGCTTTCATCACAAGAATAAACAATTTTTGTAATTCTTCACCCCCTCTTAATTTACAACCAATGATCTCTTCATCCCATATCCCATCTCTTATCTATAGACAAATCCATAAAAAGACATGATTTCCAGCTTTCATCACAAGAATAAACAATTTTTGTAATTCTTCACCCCCTCTTAATTTACAACCAATGATCTCTTCATCCCATATCCCATCTCTTATCTATAGACAAATCCATAAAACATCATCTTTTCAGTCCTAGTGTCAACTGATAGTCCATTAAGGGTTACCAGAAATAATTTTTTTAAAATTTTAATCTTGATCAAATAAAACAACTGTATATCCCTTCCTTTTACTTCTAACAGTCTTAATCTTTAGTCAATTCAAATAATGTCATAGGGTTTGATTTCTTTTCATTTCTTCTTTGTCACTTCTCACAAGATTCTTCAAAGCTTTAACAAGCCTCTTTTGTAAATCCAGTATAAAAAATTATCCAGGTCACTGTCTTGGTTTATTATTTGTATTTCCCTTTTGATTTTTAAAACAACAACCAGTTTCTTTTGTATGTCCAGTGAAACATCCTTTTCCATTTCATTCTTGTAGCCTGTCATTTGTAGATCCACTTTCGATGCCTTCTCTGTCTTCTCAAATAAAACTTGTTCCTCATCTGTCATTTCTTCTATAACATCTTTTGGACACAGTCTATCCATAGAAGCAAACATCGCTTTTGACATTGTTGATACTAACTTCTGATTCCATTTTTCAAAAGTGTCCTTCAGTATTTTCAATGTTAAAATGTTTTGTGTTATTTTATAAGTCCCAGTTAATTAGGTGTTAATCAGGCTTGTATATTTTTCTTCTTTAATTAAAATCTTTACTTACTTCTAGTGTCCAATTTTTAAAATTGCCCATCTTTATTTTGTTTTGCAAAAGTCCAAACAAATCTATTTCCCATGGGAAGGATTCTTTATAATTAATTCCCAAATCTTATTCCAAATTTATCTGGACCCTTAATCTTTTTATCACTTTCTAAGATCAAAGTCTTATTTAGCTTTTTGCTATTTCAATTTTTTTAAAAAAATTAAACTTATGATTAAAATTTTCTTTCATTAAGGATTGAAGGCAAATTCACCTGGCATTTTCATACTTCTCAATCAGAATATGTCTAATAGCTTAAAAGTGGTTAACAAGCAATTTCCAAATGTGATTAGAAATGGAAGTTTGCAAACTTAGTGTCCTTTAAAAGGCACCAACCATGGTTGCAAGTGAGATAGTTATTCCCATTGTCTTCCAGTGCTGAAAGTCTCCTGGGGACCACTGTCTTGTGGTCTCATGAGGATCAACTGCATGAGTGCATGTAGATGATCTCCTGTCCTTTCCTTGTCCAGAGAGGTTCCAAAGAGCCGGTCTACTCACTGGCTCTTTGTTCTTTACCGCAGTCATTGGCTTGGAGTCAAGGTCATGCCACAGTCAAGGTCATGGAGCCGTCTTCAGTCCACCATTTCTTCCTCTGGAAATCAAGACCAAGACCAATTCCTGATCTTTATAACTCAGTGTGAACTGTTTATGGCAGGTTGAACAACAGAGTTTCCCACAGATCATATCAAAGTGACTTACATGCTGAATTTGCTGACAGAAGGGGAACTGAAATGGACAATACTTACCATTTACAGCAATGACCTCATGCTGGACAATTATCAAAACTTTATGCAAAGATTTAGAAGTTCCTTTGATCATTCCATGAGGCACCTAACCACCAGCCATGAACTTTACCAACTGAGACAAGGTCAGTGTAAAGTGTGGGCATATGCATCAGATTTTAAATAATTTTCCAGAGATCTGGGATGGAACAATCTGGCTCTGACTGATTTAAAGGACTTGCTGCTGAACTGAGAGATGAACTGGTGAGACGAGTGTCCCAGAAAATTTGGAAGAGCTGTTCCAACATTACATAGTAATAGATGGCTGACTGTAAGAGTTGAGGTTGGGGAGAAATGCAAAGGGAAGAGGTTTTGCAGCCTCTCTTCTCCCATGGTCCCCTCCTGATAGCTTCCTTGGAATCCAGTGATGGAGAAGCCATGCAAATTGGAGCAGTCAGAAGATCTCTGTCAACAGAAGAGAAACAGAAAAGAAGGGAGTTAGGTTTATGCTTTTACTCTGGAGCTCTTAGGCTTATAGGCATATCCTGCACAGCTAAAATTCATGCCTCTGACTCAGCTATGAAATCCTGCACCTTCTATTGACATAGAAGCAGTTTCCACCTCCCCTTTGTTTGCCCGATGACTCTGTAACTAGATCTCCCCTATAGAGATAAAAGCCTGAAAGTTGTAAGGGTCTATCTTCCAGTAAGTGATTAAGCCACATTTCAGTGAAACAAAGGGCTGCAGCATTTGAGAAGTCAGAGTTATTCTGAGTTAAAATGAATAGTTCGTCCATTTTGTTGACTAGTGAATGTATATTTGTTAAATATATTGAGGGAAAAGGAGTTCTAGTTTGTTGCTTTCTAAGTCTTATCAAGATTCCAGCTCGCTTTACCCTTCATCGGTATCTCATATGTTTTCACTGAGCTCCCAAACTGCTGCCAACGAAACCACTGCCGAAGCCAAGGGAAGCCGCTGCCCCCAAGGTCAGAAAGTCCACAATAGCACTCCCACAGCCACGAAAAACAGGAGGAATTGTATAAGCAGAAAACTGTCTAATATTTAAAAGTTCATTCCTAGAATATGTAATCTGCAATGAACTGCAGAATACAAAGAAAAACACCAAACCCACCAAGGAACGTTTCACCGAGGCTGCCATTCGTGGCGCCATCTTGAGACAAAAAAGGATTCGAAATGGAGATGAGTCAGCATATAGATGGGAGGTTCAACAACTGGTCTTGTGGTGTGGTTATAATAACTTGGAACTGAATA